ACTAATTATAGATTTATAAAGCCTATATCTTAAAATTCTAAACCCTAAAAAATGTTTTGACCCCTAAAACCCCCTCAACCCTCATAACTAAACCCTACTAGAATATAATTAACCCAAACACAAATGATATAAAGAAAAAATAATTTTGAAAAAGTGGCATTTTTGTAAAGATTTCAAAAGTGTGGTATTTTTGTTAACTGACACTTGAAAAGTGACATTTTTTAAAATTTTTCTTGTAATAATTTACTATGTCTTTCCATTTCCACAACAAACGATGATTAATTTAATTTCTTTTCATAACCTTTGACACCAAATATATTTTGTATGTAGTCTAAAGGTAAAAAATGTAGTTTAAAAACCAAGATGATATATTGTAATTTATCAAGACTTTCTGTTTGTCTACCTGCTTCAATACTCTTCCCACTAAACTACCTGACACGTTTCTACACTGTTGTAAATTTGATGTCTGATAGTGCAAGCCAAGCAATCTCCCATAATCTTTAAATCTGAATTTTTGTTTTTTTCCTCTTCTTCTTTTTTCTCTTGATAGTTTTGTTTGGGTAAATTTGAAATTCTTGTATTAAGTAATTGACTTTTAAAAATAGATTATATTGATAGTTACTAGTTAGCTAGTGTATTTTATTATGTAATATAACAATTCTAAAGTAATGATTTTTTGTTGTTGTTTTAGATTTAGATGATATAGTCACTGATTCAAATGAAATCAGGTCAAAGTGACGTCATTAACCAATGATGTTTTATGGATGCACAAAAATAATTTAATGATGTTTTTTCTCTTTGTCTGTAGAAAAAGAGAGAAATAAATGGCTCTGGTTCTCATTTCTGTCACTCTCTCTCTAGCTTTTTTAGGCTTTAGGCTTTCACTACTAATACTAAGCCCTTTAGTTTAAGGAGTGCCTTCACATCCAAAACCCACCTGCAATTCTCTCTCTCTCTTTATCTTCTTTCTTCAAAGTCTTTCGCTTTACAAAACCCTAAAATCTCTAAATTTCTTAATCTCCCTCTATTTCTCTTGAACCTAATTGTGGTTTAGATACTTTGATCTTCCTGCTTAATTATCCTTAAGAAAGTTTTGAAAGCATATTAAGAGAGAAAGCTTGGTTGTATAAGGGTATGTGTTTCTTTCTTCAGTCTATTTTCAATTATCTCAAACTTTCATTAAGATTTGAAGAGACCATTTGTATTTTGAATCTTTGATAATACAATAATTTGTTGGGTTAATGTGCTTCTCACTTGAACTTAGACTTTTTTCTTTCAAAGTGGGTTTATGTCAGCTTTACTTGAGCAGGCTTGCAATAAGTCTTTTTTTTTTGTATTTTTTCGATTTGTTCTCTAACTTTTTGAACCTTCCAAAATTAGGGCTTTATTACTTGTTTGGAGAAATTTATTTTTTTAAATGGGTTTAATGAGTAGTGAAGAAAGCTCTTGC